AACGAATCGTTACTTGCGTACATGTGATACGCGAATGAAAAGAAAGGAATAAAGAAAGAAAAGAACCATGCTGGCAAACACAAATTAGATACTTGTGCAGATCCACGATAGTTGTCAAATGACATTTACAAACTACTTTTAGTTGGCCTTTTTCTTGCAGAAACCAGGCACCGGATGGCGGTCAAATGGTTTTACAACGGCAAATCTCGACCATGTCAGTAAATAGTGATAATATCACGCTGAATGTAGCTTGCACGTTCAGCCAATGGAATTGTCAAACGCGACCTATTTTGTCCGATATCAGATGGGTTCACTTCAAGGCCAACAGCTAGCTATTGACCAACCGGCTGAAGGAAAAGTAAACAAACAGCGGGTGAGGAGGATGACCAAACGTTTAAAAGAAGGCGCGTCTTCGCATCAAGCTGTCGATATAATGTTTACTGATAATAAACCGATAAATAATACCGAGCAGCTTTAGCTTATGCAGCTTAGCATTTCGAACAAAAAAAAACTGAAGAATAATTACGCATCGTTTAGTAATATCGACGACGTTCTAGCTTAACGTAAAGTAGTCTTCCTCCGCTAAGCATCAACGACGTCAACTTTAGATATCCTTGGCTTAAAATGGATAGCCCATCAAAAACCCAGAGTAATTACGTTTGAATTATTTCCCAATGCACGTTTCTACAGTCAGCCATGCGGCTTTCTTGTTGCCTAAAAGCAATTTTAATAGAGTGTTTAACTTGCCAAACCGTAGTTTCGCTGAGCCTCGAAGTATCCCTAATACGCACTTTCTAGAAGCTAATGCTTCTCTTACAAATCACGCGTATACATGGTATATACATCAACAACAGATTATCATTTTTTTATATCACCGTACATTCGCGTTGGTTTTATACCGAACATTACAGAACACTATACTAAACATAAAGTCATATATCTATGGCTTTATTTACCAACGGGCCTCTAGGGCCACGGGCATTCCCAATTTAAGACGACCCGCCAGAAAACACGGATTGGATTTCTGCGGGCTCGGCTTTAAGAGATTTCTGATCTGATTCATGATGTGTTTTTTCGTGAATTTCATAAGTTGTCTAATTTGATGTTTTGTAAAAGTTTAAAATGCCCTCCTGAAAAGGTCTGCGGCTAAAATGGAAGCGATCGAATGAGTACTTTTTTCTTGGTAGAGTTGGCTTTTTGTACTCCATGAGTTTTAATATGAATCCAGACAACCTACTAACCTTTTGCGATTTTTGCTTTTCTAGGTTTTTCTTTCATGCATCCGTGAAGATTATAGAAACTAAGCTGGGCTAGATTTTAAATAGGATTTTTGGTCAAAGAAAGTTTTCCATCGATGAAATGTTTACACAAAAGTATATCTAATGGGGTATTGTTTCTGTTGTTAACTGGAAACTCGCTGAGTTAAATAGATATACTGCACATGCCCCTATAGCTAAAATAAATAACCCGGCGTGAAAATGATCAAGGATTTATTGATAGGTTCGTCTCGCCTACCCAGATAAAAGTGAAGTGAAAATATGTTTCAAGCTATTTTTGAGTGCTTTCAAGAGCGAATTTTTGGTACGTGTCAATTGATAGGTTCAGCGTTTTGGTATGGTGAACCTTTTTATTTGAAAAATATTTTCTAAAAAATTTTTGAGAGTGATAGCAAAATGTCGAAGATATTCTTTTTCTGCCTGACAAGTAAAGCCGTTGTGGTAAACCAATATAGTTCTACGAAAATTGCGGCGAGTGGCAACTGCAGTAATCTCGTCAGCAATCGCGGAGACTTTAATACCCGCTGGTTGAATTGCGCACTCTCGATTCTCCCGAAAATTTTCATTGACGTCAATGAAAAAGCAGTATGCAGCACATACGGGAATTTAAAAATGGCACATCTACTTCATACGACGGCGCTTATCGTCTGCGACGTATGCTCTATGACCGGAGATAAGGTCTTCAAAGATATTTGGCGGAACGTATTACGATATATGTAATAAAGATGAACATTTCAGAGAAATTTTAGCTCTAGAATCAAAGCACTCCAGTCAACTACTGCCGGTAGTCAAAACAGATAGCAATATCAGTATTGAAGGCGTCTTGATCAAAAGGTCATAGCTATAAAGACACATGACAAGATACAATTTGCACATCAACACATGACTGGACGAGCACTCCCAGATTTTTGTTGTCAATCAATGATAATATATTTATAAAAAAGGCCTCCAATGAAATTACATTGCTCGAGCACATAGCTACAAAGCGGGATTCTGTTAAACGATGTATCGATGCATCTGCCTGCCACCATAATTCAGCGTGTCGGTTCTTCTAAACAGAATTATCCGAAATATTAGCAATACTTGCGTTAAATGTTTCTCTAGAGATCTAATTAAAGAAGTTACGGAAGATGCCGGTTCTATGCAGTTCCCCACAGAATTTCTCAACAACGTAGACAAATCTGGACTGCCGCCTTATAATTTACACCTAATGAAAGGTGACCCTTTCATCCCTTGGTCATCCTGATGAGGAACTTAGATTTTCCCAAGCTTTGCGACGGCACAGAGATGATCGTTTGTGATATATACAGCCATCACACTAGCAAAAACTTACAAGAGTATATTCAAAGGCCACGCAATTATGTTTTTAAAAAAGCACTATTAATGCCTAAATAAAAAAAAGATGCCGAAATTCCACAATTCTACAACGTCAGTTTCCAGTACAGTGACGGCTTGCTATCGCTACATCATAGGGCGCAGGGACGAGCGGTAAAAAATGTCCCTCCTTCCCTCGAACGAAGTTATACGAGCTACACGTCCGCTATCAAACAAATAGCGTTAGTGGTTATAGCTTATTTCTAATTAATTTCTAACTAAGGTTTACCTGAAGCTATAAAATTATCGAGAAGGCTCCCTCACTATTCGCTTTCTAGGGTCAAGAGCAGATGGAACAGAAGCTAGGAATAAGGTAGGAAGAGCAAAGCCTCTAACAGAACGGGTCCAGCGCCTATAGCAAATACAATATGTATTTCATACGTCTAGTTCATGGCGTAGTATGCTCCGGTAGCACTGGATCTGGTTCTGAAACGTATGTTTTCAATGGCTGAACATAGTAATAACTTGATTCAATATTGAGGAGGTCATTACGGATGGTTTAATGAATGATTTGTTTCAGCAAAACGAATCTAGGCTTTACTTGTTGTTAAGGATGTTATAGTAGGTGAAAACAGGCAAAGCTATATACTCCTAGCCAACCGCCTCCTAAATCGACCAGTCAGCGGACAGTATACGACAGCTAGAAGAGCAACACTATAAACCTAGTAGTAAAAGTAGGCTTATAGTTGACGCAAATATAATAGCTTCGAACCGATATGAACGGAGGTTAACCTAATAGGTGCCAGGTCGATAGGTAACGTATTAGCATGCTAATGCTAAGAATACGCGATGGTCTAAGTTAGAAATCCCGTTGCTTCGTGCCGTTGTTGCCAGCCGTCCAACTGAATGAGGCCGGTGCCGGACGTATAGCTCGAAATAATACGGTTCGAGTATGTGATTAGGTAATTAATAAGCCATGCACATATATACCTGTTGACATGATTTGTTCCGCTCGCGATTTGGCAAGCATAGCTTTCTTTTCGCGAGTAATAGATGCCGAGGCTAAATTACGTCAGTCAGAAGTAGCACGTAATTTCAATACAAACTGAGACAAACTGATGATAAATCTCTTGTTTCTGTCCGCACGCAAAACATGCGCATCTCTATGATTTTTCCGTTGCCGTATTTTGCCGATACCGTAATTTGCTATGCCTTTGGGTACCTTGTTGTCGAATGCTCACGGCTACTGCTGCCGCTGATCATGCGAAGTGAAGCGTGTCAATAGGTCACTAGGGGCAGCTAACTGTCCGCCATTTGTGACTCCTTATACGTAAGTGAATAATTAGTATTATGATTATTGAATTAGCATTGTGGGCTTTCCCGAACGAAACAGACGCATGACATCACCCCCAATCGTATTGATTCGTTGCCTGTAAACAATTATGGCTCTTACTACTTACTTTTCCTTAGCGCTCATCGACACGCATGATTGTCGAAAACTTCTCAGCTCTGCAAACGTACGCTTCATGCAATAGAAATCACATGTTTCCTCAAGTAGCGTACTAACATAAGTCGTTCTTTATTTAGCTCCTTATTCTGGCAATAAACGAAGTGGCGTGTAGTAAGACGCCAGTACAGCCAATGGAGTTCCTCAGTAAACCTTACTCAGCAATATGCACTTGACGTTTACCGCCGAGTCAATCACCGACAATTTCTGATAGAGCTACTTCTAATAATAGAGTGATCCTTACCTTTCCCTTCCAAAGGATATTTTTTAGAAGATAAGTGGCTTTACTCTGGGAGAAACTGAGCCCTTTCGGACAAGCGTCCATTGAAATATGTGCCGAGCTTTCAGAAGACAAAAAATGGTTGACATTTCTGAGAAAACCATATCAGATTGCTTACCCGGATGGCATAGAGGTCGAGGTCTTGGTCTCCGATATACGCCACTGAACGTGTCCCATATTTATCAGGTACGTCTAGCGCCAACAGCTGTTACAGTCGAACTGCTTAATTCAAATAAATGAGTCATTTTTGGATCCTATGAACTGGTGTACATGTTTCCTACTTGGCGTCACCTCTGAAAAAAGTGCTGCTTTGAGCTCCTTTGTTGGCCCTTTTTTCTCCAGCAGGGGGGGTGTTGGTGTATGTCTGGCCTTGGAATCGGACGGGGGGCGGGGGGTGGGGCGAGGGCTAAATACCCAAGCTATTCAATTTTTTTAGATAGAGTCGGTTCGTTATTTTGACCGATCGCCAGTGGTATTGACGATCCGCGAATCCAAAGCCTAGGCTTGAAGTCTAAACGCTTACAACACAGTGAAACTACAGGGTCTTATGATGAGACAGCCAACTTTGAAGCATCGATAGATCCAAGCAGAGACAACTGAGTACAAATACTATTTGCACGCTTATAAATACAAACGTTTATTGAACGCCATGATGATAATTATCACCGTCGTCATTTTGTGTGTGTGTGTGTGTGTGTGTGTATCGACATATATTACATCTATATTATGTTAATGTTTGCTTTATTCGATTTTTTCAATCAACTATTGATATTTCGTTTATTTTTACAGGAGCGCCAATGATTAACGGCGGTGACAGGCCCCGTACTACACCACACTTGTAATTTTTCTGCTATTTATATATTTACTTTATTTACCTCTTTCTTTTATTTGAACTGACCACCCTTTCTCTAATATTTCATTGTTGTTTACTTTTCTCGATTACTGACGCATCATCGTCATCTAGTTGATTTTATCAACAATTTAATTCTTATGGATAGAATTATCTCTCTAAATTACTCTATCACAGGTATATACAATTTGTTACAGTCGCGCCCATCAAAGGCGGTATATAAGGCGCGTTCAAATCGCGTTCTGTACGCGTTTTTTTCATAAGCACTAAGTATTCAGTCTTCGCGACCAGACCTCGTCACAGTTCGTGTGTCATCGTGTCTTCTTCACCTATTTTGTTTATTTATACATATCAATCTATCTAATCTAGTATGTGTATAGATTGGTGACATCACGTCCGATAGTCAACCTCGTGGTTCGAACATTCGCTGGTTCCGCGCGGTCCAAAACCGGATTCAATTAATTGATGCTTCTTGCGGATTGATGAGTGATTCTCTTAGGGCATATTCAATAGATACAAATCATATCGTTTTTTTTTTTTTACTGTTTATCACTTCCGAACAGCTTTAAGAACACGTGGTCCTGTAGTTACTGAACTACGATAGATAGCCTAATACAGTTAACGTCGGCGTTGCTGGTATTATTGTGTCCGGTTGATGCTTTCGTCCTCGTTAGTTTTATCGATCACTCTGTTAGATATTGCAACTGCCATTCAAGTTCTTCGAGTCAGCCTTAATTAGGCTGTGGATACCACGGGTTGCCGCCTGTAAACGAGACCGCACCAGCAGTTATATATAAAAACAAATAATAGCTATTTAGAGACACGTATGGTGGCTTCGTTTATGTTATTTTACTGTGAATAGGAGTCGGTTTTATTATTATTATACCTGATAGGTGATGATACAATTGCGGTTCGTTATGAATGGGTGGAGGAGGCGCATAGTCGAGGCTGGGATGCACCAACACCTGGGGCCGAAGGGGTAGTTCGTACGGGACATGTCTCTGCATAGATGTCATTGAAGTCATCGATGTCATTGAAGGGAGCGTGGCCACTGGGGTCATCATTCCCGGCACTAAATTATCTCTTCCCTGTGGATAGGCTTCGTAACCATTATACGGCGCACCTAAACCTGCCGGATTATGGTGCAACATAAAGTCTCCATGACTATGATGATGGTAAGCGTCCGCCGGAGCCACATCGCCATACGGCGTATAGGGCGAACGGCCATTGCCAGCAGCTGGTTGATTCGATTGTCGAATGACGGTTTCACGGTTCACATACAACTGACGAAGGAGAGAAGACGTTGCGCTGGGAGGCGTGCTAGGCGCAGGTGCACCTGGATCATAGAACGGGACAGAACGAACGTAATCATCATCGTGCAGTGTAGCATAGACTGCGGCGTAACATACGTATAAGCGCTCAAAGTTGCGTTTGCTAAGCTTTTAAGAACAGGCGTTTGAAGGGAAGATATAGATTATATATTATCCTCAGGGTCCTTTTAAGCTGGATATCGCATAAGAGGCTTTTGGAGGCCGTAAATGTCTCCATGGTAGGAGATTTGGTAGCATTTTGAAACAAATTATCACCTCAGTATCACTTATTGAAATCGGCATTTTCACCAAACAGGGCCTACGGCCAACAGCTTTTACAGCCTGATTTTAACTTTCAACTTATCAGGCTATTTCCCTTACCCAAACCCACCTATCCACTGTATCGTCGGAGGCTGAGGCATCAGTCTGTTATTTGCGTCCAGCGAAGTCTGTGACGGTAAAGGTGGTGGTGGAAGATGCTTCTTCATAGCGTCTTCAAGATCTTTAACGTTACTGTTATCGCTAGCACCACTCTTCCACGGCCGTGAGAGTTCTGAGATTTCCTTCTTTTCCTTCATCTCGCCATCCTCGGGAGAGTCAGACACGGCTGGTCGTTTGCGATTTTTCCCACTACCGCCACTGTGTCCGCCGTTGTATTTTTTGCGTGCTTTAGGGTCGTCCAATACCTCGTATGTGAGTGGACTCGATACAGGGTCACAGGATACGTCCTATAATCAACCATTGACGAACACAGCACAAGCAAGTTAAGCTACCGTTTAACTTTGCGCTAGATCAGCGATCATTTATCTAGACAATTGATGGAAAAACTACGGGGCATAGATAAGAAGTGTCAATTAAAGATATCTACGTATATGGCATACTTATGATAATTAGGTCCTTAGTTGACAATTAGCTTAGCACATACTCGCACTCCGTCAAGTATTAGCTTGGTATGCTACATACCAATGAGACGGATTCGCGCGTCGATGTGATGCACCGACAAAGCTGAATGGCCGTAATCACCAGTACAACCAGGAACGGTATTAGTATGGATTTACTTAGACACATATCTATACTATATTCTAACCTACGTCCGTGAGATACCTGTTTTATAGTGTGGACTACTTCTCCTCGGGTAGTGTAGGAAGGGGTGGGTAACACTTGCCTTCACAGGTTCCAGCTTGGACACGCCCGATATCGGTAACGTGCTTAACGGTAGAGGATCGGCCGTGTTGCTTTGGTGCATAGTCAATGTTGCTGAAGTGCCAACTCCCGAAGCGAGCGTATGATGAGGTTTTGGCAGGGGTGAAACGGGTGGGCTACCGCAATCCCGTTTAAGCGGAGAAGGCTCCCGATAGCCAGGAAGTTGGCTCGCATCCATCACTACCGAATCGAATTCCCCCGCCGAGATAACGTAGTTTACGCAGATGATACTCTGTTCCTCCTGTGAACTTTGCTTTGATGCGCAGATGACCGTCGCGCACGTCTGGATCCAACTGAAGCCTCCACTTTTGTTCATAAGACGATAATAACCACTCATAGCTTGCCCTAAACAGGGTCATGACACAACGGACGATCATACATAATGAACAACTTATTGAAGCAGCAAGTCGTGTAACGTGACTTCTGGAGGTTCAGCAATAATACACGTTTTTTTTTTTCTAACAGGTGCTTTGAAGAGCGATTCGTCATGAATGCTTCTAGTGGTGTTAAATAGGATGGAGTAGACGTTACTGTATGATGTAACGAGTCCATCGTACTAAATATCTTAAAGGTTACGTGTTATTATAAACAAACCTTTATGCATAATGTCCATATGTAGCTGTCTAAGTCGTTGAACATCTTGAGCGTGCACAAGCGAATAGAGACTCCGGCCTGTGAGATCATCGGCATTATAGTCTAACAGCTGCTGCACCCTAGGCTCGCAGTGCGACACCCGGAAATCAAGGTTCACCCGCGTTACGAACATATCGCAGCCAAGTCGTACCTCGTTCACAGATGGCGGAGGTAGGGCCACCGCCAAACCCACCAGCCCTAAAGTTGACAATCACACGTGCAATTATTTCATTTCTACTCTGACACTATATGGTTTTAAATCTCTTGATTCTAAAAAAGAACATTATATCTCATTTGGAGTTGTGGACAAGCCTTACTGGGCCAGCTATGGCAGGAAGATGGGCATTCTAGTCAGACAATGATACGAACGTGATTCGATAGCGGCGTGGTAAAGGGAGAACATTTTCGACAAGTTTGATGGACGTTTTTCGCTCGTTTTTTTCGAAGTGTGGAAAGGTGCTACTCGAAATTGAAAGGAGCCAACAGACGAACTTACCAAGAACAGGCTGACCTTTAAGCTGCGCCCCTCCAAGGGAAGGGGCGGAGGATGTGTAGATGCTCTGCGGCCGAAGATGACACAACACCAAGACAACCCTGTAGCCAGAAGACTTGAAATGGCAGCCTCTCTTAGTGAGTGTCGATTTCATGCGCACACAAAAGGACCGCTCCAGGCCGGCGTACGCTGTATGCGAACCCGCTTGCATCGTCGCAGCTCGAATTCGGACAGAATGTTTATCATTAAATACCGAAGAGAAATCAGTTTGAAAAAAAAAACTTAATTAATCCCAAACACTGATCGTAAAATTATTAAGCCGAAATACCCATTCTATTAATCTAAAAGAGCCAAGATCAGCTTTTGAGAAACGAGATGACATTTTGGCTTTCGTCGATTGCTACCGTATGAATATTGAAATACCGTGATTATTAAACAATGAAACAACAATTAGAGGAAAATCCACGCAATATTAAAGGCCGAACTAATATATATAT